TCTGAGTCTCATTACTCTATACTGACTGGGTCAAGGTTGAGTCATGATTGCAACATGGAATGCGTACGTATTATGTTTTTGTCGGCAGAATGAAAATTACTTCAAAATATGAACAGTATCAGTGGCAGTAGCCTTTCTAAACAACCAACCAACCAACCAACCAACCAACCAAAGGACCAACATACCAGGCAAGCAAACAAGCAAGCAAATAAGCAAGCAAGCAACCTACCAACCAACTAACCAATAAGCTAACCAACCAGTCAATCGAGACGAGCTCTAGTGGTTTAGAGGTTAAGGTGTCTGCCTCTCATTCAATAGGTCTCGGGTTTGAATCTGGATAACGACAGAACATGTTGTTCTCTAAAATGTTCTCCTTTCACATCGTCTCCTGTCTCTAACAATGTTCTGTCGTCAGCTTTCATCCCCACATTCTGCCCCCACCCTCTCAGTTCCTTTGCCATCTCCTCTGGGCTCCCGACTCTTTCGGCAGCCTTTCTACTGCTTCTCCTTGGTCCTTCTTACTGTTGTCTTTCAGCCACACCCGTGATCTTATGGTAGGAAAGATCTAACACCTGGCCTTCTCGGATAAGGGCGAAAGATCTCGGAGGTCCCGTGTGAAAGTTGCAGGCCCAGAATCGATAAGAGTAGGCTTCGGTAGCCACCTGGGCAAAATTCCAAATTTTCTACCAACTGAAAATGTTTAATGTGATCCACGCGTTCATACGACTTTATGAAATTGCGAGCGCCGAAAAACCAAAAAAAACAACAAAAAAACATAAATCGATTTTTGTGTGCTGCGGGTTCCGTCAACATTGGTTATGTTGAAAAGTTTCCTCTCGTTTAATTTATAGTAATGATTATGTTGCAAGATGGTAAAGGAAACGTACTTTGCTTGCTGACTAAAACAGATTATACCCCCCCCCCCCAACCCATATTCTTCTGGTGTTTGTAATTTGTATAATGGAAGATATATGGGTATCGGTGCCATTACTCTTACACGAACTGAAATTTATTTGAAATGAATTTTAGTTCACTCTGGAAGAAATCAAAGTGTCTTTTGTCTTAAAATGTATGACGAAATCCCATAAATGTAAATGATTAGCATACAGCAAGGTCTTCATCATCCAATGAATATCTGTAAATGAATATCATTATTACTCTTAAAATGAAGTTGATAATAATTTTTATTTAGTAATAAAAAAAGCGAAAAAAGAAACCATTACATTTTTTCTCAAAATCTGAATAATGGATGTGTCCCATTTGTCGCGGAACGATCTATCTATCTATTTATCATCCATTTATCCTTCCATTTATTCATCCATTTAACCATCCATTTGTCCATCCATCCGTCCGTCCATCCGTCCATCCGTCCATCCGTCCATCCGTCCATCCATCTATCTATCTAGATCGATCTATCTATATTAATGACGCTTAAAGTGGTAAGCATCTCAGTTTAATAATATATTTCAGTAGTAGACAATACAACACTTCGCTTCTCACAAACCTCGTGGCAAGAAGGGGGGAGAGGGTTGTCTACTTACTATTCCCTTGCTCTTTACAATCATACCTCCACCTCTCTGACCCTTTTCTGTGTCCACCCTTTTCAATAAACGGTTGACACAAGACCCCAGCCACACGTTAATGTCTTCATTGTTCACTGTGTGTACAGTTCCCACGCGTATTAGACCTTTATTACAACAGAAGAATCATGTTACCCTCTTTTCTCTTTTGCCCCACCCTCCAACCCTCCCTTGTTCTATCTCACACCCCTACTCTATACAAACACGCGCGCACACACAGACAAACACATACACACACACACACACACACTCACTCACACACACACAAACACATACACACACACACACACACACACTCACTCACACACACAAACACACACACAAAAGAACACACACACACACACACACACACACAAACACACACACACAAGAACAAGCACACACAATCACCGTCACCTGGTTAAAAAGGGTCAGACAAACGTGATGCATACACCCCTCCCCTCCCCCCCCCTTCCTCTCTCTCTCTCTCCCTCTCTCATTCTCTGTCTTCTCTCTCTCTCTTTCTGTGTCTCTCTCTCTGTCTGTCTGTCTGTCTCTGTCTCTGTCTCTGTCTCTGTCTCTGTCTCTGTCTCTGTCTCTGTCTCTGTCTCTCTCTCTCTCTCTCTCTCTCTCTCTCTCTCTCTCTCTCCCTTTCTCTCTCTCCCTCTCCCTCCCTTTCTCTCTGAGAGTGCTTCCAAGACAAACCTAGCCCAAGACCAATTAGTCACGGCATATTTTCTGTGCACTACCCATGTACGCAAGACTTTCGCAATAAAAATTCCCACTCAGTAGTTTATGAAATAATGTAGGCATATTGACAAAGACCTCCCACAGACTAATCCCTCTCTAGTTACTGCGCATAGGTTGCTTCTGTTTGCAACTGTTGGCCTTCATGGATAAAGCCAACCCCCCCCCCCCCAACAAAACAAAACAAAAATAAAACAACAAAAAACCACGAAAAAAACCCCAAAGCAAAGCAAAACAAAGTAAAATAATCAAAAACTTCAACTTCTGTCATTTCGCAGTTTCGTCAACCCTTTACACTTTTTGTCATCAACATTAAAAAGACACCTATTGTTATGTTTTGAAAAAAAAAAGCCAGATTCATACATTTTGCAAAAATCTTGTTTTGGGAGATTTGAAGCTAAGTGATTTAATCGTTGACATAATATCTGTGATAACAGGCCGGACCAGGCTCTCATCAATTTTCGGGCATGTGGAGCAACAATATATTGGTGTCCTCTTATAGAGCTTAAATTTCGGTTTTCTTGCTTTCATTGAAAAACAAGTAGTGTTGAGATAGCTCTTAACGCTCCCGCCCCACCCCCTACCAACCCCAACCAATCGCCTCCCTTTACGATCCACTTAAAAAAAACCCCAATGCACTATTGTGTCTCGTATTTAGAAAAGAAATGGTCTAACTGTAATGTAATTGCAAACTGTGTCCCCATCGACACAAATTAGATCAACCTACACTTTTTACCTTTATAAAATAGAAATATATATTCCAATGTCTCTCATTTGAAAAAGAAATGGTGTAATAGTAATGAAATTACAAACTGTGTCTCGATCGGCACAACAATTAGATCATCCAAACAGACGGCCTGCTTCAGCTCGGGTTAAATGTGATGGGCTTGCATCTCGGAAGAACGCTGTTTTCAACTCTATTGTTAAATGTAATTAAAAGGACGTTTTTCTTTCGGTCAAAATGATCAAAGGGGAACTTTACTTTAGATGAACGCTGCCTATCAAGTTGGAGTGGGAGAGGAGGGGAGGGGGGGGGGAGGTGAGGGTGAGCAGGTTGTCACACAAGAGCGCTAGTCGCTGCAGGTAAAGTGACAGGCCCTGATTGTAGTCAGATTCGTTCAGCTGTTTTGGGAATTTTCTTTCTTTGGCGTTAGATAAACATTTACTGTGCGTGTAGCGGACTTTATACCGTCACATAAAAAAGGTGTGGTCGCCGTAAAAGTATTTATTTATGAGTTCATTTGTCACAAAATCGTAGAATATTCATATTCATAGACCTACACACATTTATTTATGTACGTTGCTGGAAACAGTAGTTTTGTTTCTAGTTTCTGTAGTATTTTGAGTTGATTTATTTCTCCCTTTCTGTAGCTTTCACTAGCAGTTTGTGCCAGATAAGGTTCGTCTCGAACAGTCTTTTGTTTTTTCATTATGGTTATGAAATACCTCCCAAGAATTGGTGGTTGGGTTTATCTTGCATGCCGTTCTCAAGTGGCGAGCGTCCGCGAGTAGCGTTCTTCTGTGGTAGCTTTTGACGCATCCAAGCGTTATTTACGCTCTCCCTATGCGCTACCGTGTGATAGATCATAACTAAATAACAGACTGAGAGAATAGATAAAATTAACTTCCCCAACGAGGAAATCAGATTCAAGTTTTTTAAAGGGGTTTTATTACCTTATTAAAAATATTTTTATTGGAGGGGGAGGGGGGAGGGGGGAGGTTCTTGCAAGGCCGAGAGCTTTACTGTTACACCACCGACAGCAGTCGTTTGCTTTGATCTATTTATGGAACTTAACGCACCAATCGATACAATTAATTTAGACAATTAAGGAGGCAGGCTTCGACCTTGCCTGTCGGGGCCAACCCGGGTTGAGAGGGATACAACGTCCCTGCAGTAAAACTGGGGTACTGACAAACATTCTCTCCACTCGGGAAGCGAAGTCGGGTCTTCTATGTGCGACAGAGAAGTAATGTATAACCGCTACATAAAATATTATGTCCGTCAAACTCCGGTGAGTGTGGAAATATTGAGACAAAAAACCTCGAAAAGTTTCGATTCTTGCCAGTCTCGTCGCCTCTTCGTATATATCTATGTGAAAAACGTTGAACATCCCCATTCAACCATCTTAAAGAAATTTTACGTTATCTATGCGTCGGGCACCAAATGTAAGCTCCGTATTTGATAGGACGGTCCCTGGTTTGGAGAGCTATGAAAACTCATCGAAGAAGCAACGGCACCTGTAGCAGCAACACTCCCCCCCCCCCCAACCAAAACAAACGTTGTTGCCAGTTTGTAAATTGCTGATTTAAAGAGATATTTGCACCACGACCTATGCAATATAAAAAAATATGTGAGATCTCTACCTCTAAAAGTACACATACTTCAAGGCACGACTTTTCTTGCAAATTAGCGTTGCTTACGTGAATACAAGGTTAAAATGTGCTCACCGCTTTAAAAAAAGAGGGAAGACACGTGTTGCAGTTTATCTGAGACCACTTCAAAATTTAAAATAATTTCTGGCTACACTGTCAGTTTTACAAACCCGAAGCCTACTAGTCGTCCATCTCAATTTCAAGTACCGCTAATCCAATTACTAGAAACGGTCTTTTTAAGACAGCCTTGATCATTTAAATTTGAGGGGGAAAAATGTCCAAAGATAGAATTCTAATTAAAAAAACAAACTTTATTCGGATATGAAAATAACTTCGACTCCAACTTTCAAAACATGAACGCTTATTTGACGATTTGGTTTATACGTTGACCGTCCTTTAACTTAGCTCTTCCTCTGCAGCAGGAAAAGAGCCCTATGTATGTCTTGTAGAATTTGCTGCTCATTGTGACGTAGATGAGAAAGTTAATGGAGGCGTTGATGACGTAGAGCAAGTCGTTGCAGGTTTCCATCACGAGAGTAAGGTTGCTCATATTATTGTTTCCTTTACTGACAAATTTGGGAGCCAGAAAGACAAGGAAAAACGGTGCCGCCAATGGTAAGGCAATTGAAGCGTAAACTAGACTAACGATGAGGAGCATTTTTACTACTTTCACGTCTGTGACTTCAGTTGTTGACGATGTCATTTTGCTTCGTTTTCGGGTAGCTTTTCGGAGTCTTCTGATGATGGCAAAGGAGCATACTAGAATCACAACGACCGAAATGGGGCCTCTGATAACACTTATGATGAAATTCAGAGCTAATATTTGATACAAGTTCTTGTAAGCTTCAGGACTGAAAACTATCACAGGCAAGGTCATGTTAAATTGTGGGTTAAAACTCCATTCAACAGCCTGTATTCCCCAGATTGGACCAAGAAGCAACACCCAGGAGACTCCTAAAACTCCAACAATAATGAAAGTATTTCTCGGCGAAAGCAAAGTTGAAACCTTAAATGGAAAATACACAGCGATAAATCTTTCTATAGAGATGGCCACAACCAGAGAGGAAGAAAATAGTCCGAAAAAACGATTGGCTATCCATAAATACCCTGTAACTGTTACGTCCAATATAATGGCAGTGACCGGATCTATTTGAGCCACCACACAGATTATACGCTTGAGGAAGAGCGTGAACACGAAAACAAGGTCCGCTACCGAGACCGCCATCAGAAGTATTGTCGTGCTCTCCGCGAAGCCGTGTCTGGCAAGGACTATGATGTTGAGAACGTTGCCGATGGTTCCGAAGAAGCTGACGATGTTGATCAAGATGCAGTTGATGACCGTGTCGATGAGAGAAAGGGTTGCGCCATCGATGTCTTCGAATGCCTCCTGAGACTGATCGATGATGAGTCCCGCTGTGCTTTTTGGTGAGCCGAAAAAATGAGACGTGCTATTTTCTGGATTTGAGCTCGAGGTTTCCATACTCAATTTTTTTTTGGTTCAGACCTGCGTGACATAACAGTAAAGGTACAGATAAAACAGATGAAAAAGAAGTCAGATTTGTTCTCCCGACTCCCCCCAACCCTACAAGAAAACAAAAATCCCCTTCGTCATTGACGTCTGTGGTATTAAGTTTAGTTGCTTTGCTGTCGCAGTTGTACGCAGGAGACAGGGGTATGATTCCCGAGTGTAGAGGATTCTTATCGAATATCCCAGTGTCTCAACAGGGATGCTGTATCCCTCTCAGTCCAGGTTGGCCTTGACAGGCATGGTTAAAGAACACCCCCAATATCATCTAAATTGTGTTAATGGGGGTGTAAAAAGCCTACATCACTTTCTTTAACAAATATAAATTAATAAAGCAGGCGCAGAAAGATTTAGAATATTTGTTATTACGAATACAGGTATATACCCCTTCCTCCCAAGCGAGATAATTAATATTATTTTTAAAAAAAGAATGTCCCCAAAGGGAATGTCTCTCAGTTACTTTGAGTAGATCTAGATCTATAGACAAATAGCCAAGCCGCTGTTCAATAGACTTCTGTACCACACACCCCTGTACTAACAGACACACGAAACAATAATGTGAGACAGGACGAAAGATTTATAAAAGACAGGATGACATATACTTTTATAATATTGTACAGATATATCCTGCATGAGAAAAAGTCAACCATATTCATATAATATACTTTCATCAGCTTTGAACAACAAGGTATAGATCTAATACAACCATAACACTGTATTGAAAAAAAACACAAAAAACAAACAAACAACGAAAACCACAGACAGATAGACAGACAGACAGACAAACACACAAACAAACAAACACATGCGTACGCCAGTGTTCACAGCTTGGAACACCACAAAGTACTCACGATGTGTCACTATCTTGGCCTTCTCTTTATCGTAGGCACCAAATCAGATTTGTCTACAGCTTACATTAAGTAATAGCCTTATTGCTTTTTCCATAATTAAACATCAATGCTAATTCAAGAAGTTCTACTTTTTACACCAAAATAAAATTGTGGCATCGCTTGAGGACAACTAAGGTTTTCTTTGTGTATTTAGGAATTTCCAAAGCAAATTAAAAAATCAATTGCCTACAAGCTACAAATCTGTCATTGTGTTCTCTAATACCATACTACTCAAGAATATCAAAGACATGCTTCAATAATGCCCTACATTTTGTTTATTCTCCCGTATCATCCTTTTTTTCTCAGAATAATAAATCCTCACTCCCTCCCCATTTCATGAAAGTTATAATTTACATAAAAAACGGTAAGCCTTTCTTTATAAACAGCTTAACAGGTGCTTTACAAACAGCAGCGTAGTGATTTAAAATGTAATAACATCCTCGTACCTTGCTATTTTATATTACCTTGGCATGAAGACACATCCCTTAATACAAGGCTGCAATATGATTGAAGTCCTATTTCTTTTAACGTAAGCATAAAAAGGCATGCTCTACGCGTCTGCTTTTCGTTAGTCTAAAAGATTTACAAAAGAAAGAGCCTACATTAAAGCAATTGCTGGATAATTTGCTTACCTGTCCTTGTTTCATACCCTGAAACAACTCTTTCTCAAGCTATCGAAGTCTGTGTTTTTATTTAATTGGCTTTGTTCGACAAACTGAAAAGAGGAAAGAGGCCTGTTTCACTTGTCTCTTCAAGTAGACTTGATCTATACTTTGACTTTTAAATCATATAACTATTCTTTAAATTGTGAGATTTCAAAACTAGATCTAGTCTATGTGTTCCAAATATCATAATAATCTACTGGAGTAATATTTAAAGCAGATATAAACGAATCTACTCAACATTTCCATATCTCGTTGAAACTAAAAGTGATTTCCTGACGCCCCTGGAGCTTTTCTCTAGAGGATGTCAACACGATCTCTTTGGAATATTCGAAGACGTAGATCTATAGCAACATTTGAAGCAGTAGACGTAGACTCCGTGCCATAACATCTTCTCACACTGTTGCCTTATCAAAACAAGAGTTAGATCATATGGCACAAGAAATCTAAAAGAATGCTGAGAAAAAAATAGACTGTCTGAAACAAAAGACGGAAAAAAGAAGAGTAGCATTTTGGTGTTACACGCAAACCCATACCAAACATAAGTCAATGAAGTCTGCTCTTGTGATAAAGTCAACCAAATCATAATCCTAGGATAGTGAGTGACTTCAAGCTTCCTAATAGGAACAAACTAATAATGTAATTTTATCCCATTTTACATGAAAAGTTACTTCTCTTTTTAAGAAACAAAAATAAATGTCATCAATTGAACGCATTCCAAAATTTGCAGACTTCGGTTTATTCCTTAGCTCGAATGCTCTAAAAAGAGCTACATAATAATAATAATAATAATAATAATAATAATAATAATAATAATAATAATAATAATAATAATAGATAGCATTTGTATAGCGCATATCCCCGATCAACAGCAGGCTCTATGCGCTTTACACTATATTATTACCCCAGCAGACCATAGAACACTCCGAAACATTCTCAGCTTCCCGGGAAGCATACAGTGCAAGCAGCCGATTAAACGCTCAAAAACATATAAACTAACAAGATCTTTCGCTGTCTATAGCCGGGTATCCATTCCCACCTGGGGGAAGTGAGGAAAATTCGTGTTAAGTGCCTTTCCCAAGGACACAACGTCGGGCCCTTGACGGGATTCGAACCCACGACCTTACGGTTGCGAGTCCGAGAGCCTAAAACAACAACAACAACAGACGGTAGCTGACTAGGGTCATCGAGTCCATGGCACACCATGTGTTTGTTCGCTTTTTCACCTGGAGCAAACTGCAGACTGCAGTGACACAACTGTTCTTTTCTGTAATTTCTGGGGAATTGATGAACTAAGATCAAATTCTTTTATGTTTAGTTTTAGTAAAAGCTTTACGGCACTTGCAACACAATAAGGTAATATAGGTGCCGAAGATTAGAGGTGTTACAAGAGAGCAACAAACATGAAAAAGAAGGAGGGGAGATAAAGACGATAGATGAAATTCTATTATAACACATTTGGTATCTTTCACATTAAAATCTGACCACATTACCCTGATCCTTCCCTGTCCCCCCCCATCCATTTAGGTTCTCCAAGTAGGGTACTCTAGGCCTACACCTGCCACGAATGCCTTCAATTTCGCCAATGAGAGCTTGATGTTCAAGGCCTTTATGTCTATTTTTTTTGTCCCAAAACACTTAGATTTACAGGATGCAAAAAACCGAGGGCTCTCTTTTTGTGAAAGATGTATTTTTCAGGCAATTTGCACAAAACATTGCATCTCAACTGTGTTTTCTTACTGCCGCTCAGCTGTTAAGAGGTGTTAGGTTGTGGATGTCTTCATCAAATAAGTTCTGTGCTCAACGTGCTGTGACATGTAGGTCCTTAGAGAGTCTGTGACGGAGAAAAGGGAATGGACTGACCAGATAAGTGAACCATTCCAGGGTATCAGATCGTCTGAACGTACACCGGGTGGCATGGAAAATAATAATATTCGTCGTGATGTTTAGTGTGACGACAGGCTGGCTTCAGTAGGAACGGATTAAAAGTGTGTCTGTGTCGACAAGAGTGTTGATATCTTTTTCTACTGACTACTAAGAAAGAGAGCAACACAATCTGCGAATAGTACATTTCTAATGATACCCCCCAATAACTTAAAGAACTCCTAGTTTTTTGTTGAAATGTAAAGAATAGCATTGTTTTCACTCTCTGCATAGCAATATAATTGTGAGTTTTGTGGATATACGAGTCTCTTCTTCAGTACCACTACTTCCTTTTCCCCCTTTCTTCCTCCAACGTACATGGAACTCTTAAGTATGGCCCTCGCAGTTGTACAGATATCTTGTGTGCGGCCCTTGGAAGTGTACATATCTCATGAGCATGGTTCTTGGAGGTATATGGGTTTCTTGTGTAATGCTTGGAAAGACACAATTAGCAGATGTCTTGTGTTTTTCCCTTGGGGATATACGAGTATCCTGTGTTTTAGCCATCACAAAGTGCACAAAGCCTTTCATGTGTCTGTGGGTGTGCACGTTGTTCTAACTTCAAGATACGTAAACCAACAATGGTTTACTTTTCTGCCCGATTCCAGGCTAGTATGGTGTAAAGTAATAAATAGCAACAGCAATCTCCAAGCCCCCCCCCCCTCCCGAAAAAAGCCAAAACACTCAAAAAGGTAAATCTTCTTGTTTAACTTTAAATTGACACCCCAGTCTCTAGTGCAAAGTCTGCTGTTCACCCCAGGTCCCCAAGCCCCCTACCCTGAGTTTTGGATCTCTCTGCCGAGAGCTGGACTAGTATTTTCTTTTTAAGAGCCTCGAGCATTGGGCAGGCTTTCGGCAGAGGAAAGATAAACAAATACGAACAAATTTGGACAACTGGGGTAATTTCACGGTTAACTTTTTTCTCCAAAGTGGAAACCATACGACTTTTGATACTGAGTGTAGGCTACAATTTATACTTAGAAGTAGCTTTGTGTGTTATTGTGGGAAGCATGTGTGGATAAAGAGATGTTTTCAATGCTAAAAAGGAAAAGAGTGAACATTGAAAAAAAAGAGAAGTATATTATTCTTTTTAAAAAGACCAGTAGAAGAGCACATAGAAAAGCATGATGCTGCGAGGATTCATAACAGCATTTAGGAATGATATCGATTCACGAGAGAGATATGGAGAGCTTATACGACCTCTTAACACCCAAAAGGACTTAATGTGCCTCCGTGCATGTGTTTGTCATATGAGGAGCAGGCCCCTAAAGCGTAATTAGTCTCTGCACATAGTTGAGCTTTCAAAGGCGTAGACGAGGAAAGCTATGTGGGTGGGCGGGTTTAATGGCGCCTAAGTGATTTTTTTGTTTGGTTCTTGCTCGTGTCTGCATGCCACTATAATACGCGTTTTTGTGTTTGAATGCTTGTGAATGTGTGTGTTTGTATGAGAGGGTGGTGTGTGTGTGTGTGTGTGT